TGGGAACAGTGGTCAGCATGGATGAATCGTACACTCTATTGCTTTTCTTACCAAGCTGATGAATTTTTTCTTTTTTTTTTTGCGGATTTGTCACCATAACATCAAAGAAATGATCGATGCCAGTCCAAAGAGAATGCACGGGAAGCATGATTCTATACTTCCGTCACCCGGGTGATAGGAAGGGTCTATGTGCACGAGTTGGCACTTCATGGATGTGCAGATCATTCATGGTTTTGTCCCCCGGTCCCCGGTCCCCTGTCCCTCCCTCGCTCTCCTCTCCCCTTCCCTCAGCTCTCATCTTTCCTCCCCTTGGCTCCTCCCCTCCTCCTCCTCTCCATTTTGGAGCCTCTTGGATGAGCTGGCCATCACAGGCAGTTCTGGAGCTCGACCTGGCTCACTGTGACCTTGGTTTGGATTCTGACTCCTTGTCCCCTCTCATAATCTTGCTTGACTTGTCCCCTCTCTGCCCTGCTTCCCGGGCTCAGGAGAGAGAGCAGACAGAGAGTTGCCCTCACTTCCTGGGTTTCTGTGGAAGCTGCCTCCAGGACCCTGGGTCCTGGGATCTCAATGCTGGGATCTCCTTAGCATGTCCTCTCCAAGGAACTCCTTAAAATACAGCCGTGTGGCTCTCAGAATCGAGGCGAACTCATGGCTTTGAAGGTCTATTCCTGGATCAAAACCTTCTGTGGAGACTGAGGTGACTCTGGGCGCCCCCCCCCCCCCCCTGCATTTGAAGTCAGAGGACGTGCTATGGTGTGCTCTCCCACTACCCCTTCCTTCTCATGTCCTAGAAATACTTATTTCCCAGGCTCTCTCGCTTTTGCAGTAACCAGTATGGCCAACCGCTGAATATCATACCTTGGCTTCCACAAATGAATAACCACGGCACCGGCCTTCCGTGGAAATGGTTCTGTCCTTTCAAGAAGAATGGGTGTGGATCTGATAGGGTTGGGGTCCCAGGCAGAGAGAGCAGATGAATGAATCAACATAGAAATAGTAAAAGGTGCTGATCCTTGGGGGGCGGGGGAAGAAGGGAGGGAAGGAGGATAATATAAAAACCCTGATGTGCTGTATTTGATCTGTTCTGTCTGTGGAGGAATTAGGGTCAGGCCCCAGGTGACTCTGCTGCATCTGCTGGTGTTTCCTTCAGTTCAGGTGGGCTGGGTCCTTTCTTTCTTGCCTATCTCCTCCCTGGGCTGCATTAAGATGACAAATTTCACTTATGGGCTAGGGCATGGGACATGAAAGCCTGAGCTATTCCAGCTAACTGAGTGAGTGCAGATGAGCTGATTTATCGTGGGGTGGAAAGGAAGAGTGTTTGAAGAACAAATAGATGTTGTTAGCCTGACTCTGCCACAGAAAGGCGCATAGAAGGTCTGAACTCCACCTCCAACCTCCGACTCCTTTGCCTCATTACCCCTCTTGAGGGTGGAACTGAAACATTCAAGTAATTAAGGAACTTCCTTAAAGCACACACATAGGCGCACGCACACACAGACCCACACACCCACAGTATGTGGCAGGCAGATGAACTTCAATTTTGGAGCCATTTTAGTAGTCATATTATCAATATTGTACTACTACTACTTGTAGTATTATATACATGCTTTATTATTTAGGGTGAGATAAATAGAAGGCATGTCTCGTGTCTTTTTCTGTCTGTGAACTCTATAATAGATCATTCTCTTACCCTGCCTTTGAGAAAGGGAGGGCAGGAAAAAAAAAAAAAAAAAAAACCAAACCCATCACCACCAACAACTTGAATAGCAAGAAAGCAAGTCCATCAGATCAAACACGACTGCGCTAAATACTAAAATGTTCAAAGTCCGACAGAGATAGATAAAGGCTTTGATGGAAAGTGGATATTTCCCAGGGACATTACAAGCAATAATCCAGATGTTCGGGTGTAATGCAACGAGTGTCCGCGGATAGAGCAGGCGTCCCTGCCAAGTAGCCCCCGATGCAGGCCTCCGCCCTGCCCTCCCATGCTGGTCTGCCATATGGAACCCATCTCCAGGCCCCCTTAATAACCGGCTTTGGATTCCATCTCCACAGAACTCATGGAGCTTAAGTGGGACCGTTTTATGGACAAGTTAGATAGAAGCCTTTCCAAGATAAACATCCAATTTGAAATTAGGACATACCAAGCCACAAAATTATTTTAGGCCAATATTTCATGGAAGCGCTCCCATTTTTCTTTGGCGATTGCCAGACTGTAGGGTGCCCTTTGATCCTTTGTGGACATCCACCCCCTCCCGCCCCCCTTTTTATTTTGTGAAAAGGGTTTTGAAATAGTTGCAGTGTTTGGGGAGGACGCTTTATCTGTCGGAACTTTGAAGCATGGCGGTGGGACAGGTCGTGCTTTAGCTTGTGGGTTGACAAGTCGAACTTTTAAGAAGAAGAAGAAAAAGGAATCACAACAGGATATATGAATCAAAATCTCATTTTTGTTTGGAAGGTAGAACTTTGCAGACCTTGCCCTTGATCAGCTATAAAATGTATGAAGTTTACCTCCTGCTTCTCCATTACTGAGCTTCAGACCTGTGCGCTCAAGCGTGGGCTGTGTATGCAGATATTGTGTTGTTGTCAGCAAATACAAAAAGTTGCTTTTTTTAACCATTTCATAAACTTTTATTATTATTATTTTTCCCTTCCCATCTCCCCCCCTTCATCCCCCCTCCCCCCTGCCAAAGTTGTAAAGTTCATTTTTTGACATAAAGACTTGTACGTATCATTGATGCAGTGGGTCCACCTGTATCCTTATTTAAATGATTTGTTTTTTTCCCTTCCCCTCCACAAATTTCACAAACTTTTATTATATTCTACCTGGAGACGAACTGCAAATAATTTTTCCCCCTGTCCACACATTTTTTGCAAATAAGTTTTAAGAAAGCATTATTCGTCAGGGATAGGGATGGTAGCTCGGTGGTAGAGAGCTTGCCTAGCATGGGTGAGGTCATGGGTTCTATCCCAGCCTCCTAAGAAAGTGAAATAAGGTAAAATTAATTTTTTTCAAAAACCATTATTCATGTTTACTAGAGGAGACTCCCCCCCCCCACCACCACTTTTTTAAATTACTTCTTTGTCTATTTATATGCAGCGTTCTGTCTTGGAACCTCTAAATGTGTTCCCTCCCTCTTGTTTCATTCTGTTCCTTTTTCTGCATGTGAGTGTGTGTGTGTGTGTGTGTGTGTATGTGAGAGAGAGAGAGGGAGAGAGGGAGAGAGAGAGAGAGAGAGAGGGAGAGAGGGAGAGAGAGTTGTTTCCCAAGGAAAGCAGTGTGGATAAAGGTTTAGGACCATATATGTAGTTTCCATACATGTAGTTCATTAAAGGCTTTCATGATGAATCACAGAAAAGTAAGGATCTCATAAAATGATCAACAACCCGCCTGGTCTGGTACTGTCAAATCGTCCGCAGAGAGTGGAGGAAGGATATTGGGGGGATGAGGTAAGTGGGTGTGTAATTAATACAGTCCCCCGGAACCAGGTGTTGTGATAAATTGTGACTAACTGGTGTCTGAGCAAATGGATGTGTAAATGATTTGGAAGATAGAGTATATATAGACTATCTAGTGTTGGAAATTCACGGCCTTACTGTGACGCCTGACGCCATTGATATTCTCCAGTCCATTTATTTCTCCTTCCAATAATAAATAATAATAAAAAAAAGTCTGTCCTGCGCCATTCCACTCATGGAATGGAGGATGGAAATGAATCCTGCCAGGTAACTCAGCTCGCGGCTCAGGTAGGGACTCTCGCTCAATCCAAACCTAAGAAAAGACATCACTGAGGTCACTGGCGGGGGGGGGGGGGGGGGGGGGGCGGGGGGGGGGTATCTCCAGAGTATTTAGTGGCACTCAAGAAGTCGATTAATTTTTGTTGTTGTTGTTGAGTGTGATTGGGGTATGATGATTATATAAAAACAAAAACCAGTTTTACTTTTAGATCTTTCAGCTAACACAATAGAGTGAAGAGCTAAGATTGGTAAGATAGGGAGTCTGATAAGTACAGAGAGATTTATTCTAATAATCCTTTCAACCATTGGGTGTGTCTTACAAATACTACAGAGGCTCGAGGTGTGGCTCATCCCAAGAGCACCTGGATAGCAAGCCCAAGGCCTTGAGTTCAAACCCAAGTACTGCCAAAAAAAGAAGATAAAATATTGCATAAGGAAGATTAAAAATACAGTTGGCTATCATCACCTTAACAATAGGAGGTGCTCGCCTACTTGTGCCTATTGTGTTTAGCTCATCTATATCTTTATATGTGAATATGTATATGTAAATACATAAATGTATACGTATACAAATAGGCAAATATACATATTGATGCATATATACATATATATATAATTACAAACACTCATACCGATGCACATAGTTGAGTGACTGTAGATTAATAACTCCGAAAAGTAAATAATAGCTGACTGAATTGCTCCTGGGTCCTAGAAGTTCTGATGAATGTTTAGACTTCCCTCTTCCCGCTCCTCCTCCGTCCATCTTGTCCCACCGCAGAGCTCATTTTGCGAGCACATTTTTTTTTTTTTACAAGGCGAATGTGGCCTTGTGAATCGCGTTATGGAATCGAGATTTTTTTTTTAAACTCATCAGATAAGGGGTGGGGGATAAAGTCCTCCTTGGGATGACTTAACTGCCCCAGGAGCACTTATGGAAGAGCAACCGCCTTGCTCTTCCCTCCCTATTTCCCAGAAGGCCTTCCTTTGCTTCCCAGGAAGAAAACAGCCCAAGGCCCGCTTTGGGGGATGAACTCGCGAAGAGTCCCTCTGGGTGGGAGTAGGCCTCTGTTGTATTGTTCAGTGCTCAGTACCTGAGAAGCAGGTCCTGCAGAGGTGACCCGAGTTTGCAGAGCCAATGAGAAACACAAACTTCCCACTGAGCGAGGGAGTGGTTTTAGGGTTGCACAGGAATGCCTGTGCTCAGGGAGGGTCACGGGAGGAGGGCGGCCAGCTCACCTGTCATCTCTTCTGTCTTGCTTTAGTCCTCTTTCATCCGCAACCTGCGCCTCTCAGAGTCCTTGAAAAAGAACCAACTCTGGAATGGGATCCTCAGTATCACTCTGTTGGAAGGAAGGAATCTCTCAGGAGGACACATGACTGAGGTGTTTGTTCAGTTCAGACTGGGAGATCAGAGGTATAAGAGCAAGGTAAGCTCTACTTCTGGGAAAGAACACATTTCCAGAATTAAGGAAAGAAAAAAGTCGTAAAACATGGTTTTATTACCCCCCCCCCCCCAAATCCTAAATTTTATGAGAATGGAACCTTTAGCTTTCCTGAAGCATATTAACTAGCGTCCTGGAAAACATAGATGATTGTGTCGGATGCATTCAATTAATCCGAGGATTGCTTTGGCTGCTTAGGCGAATTGATTGTAAGACACCCAGAGGCAGAGCAAGTTTTACGGAACCAGTGTTAAATGCGTGGTCTATTATTATTTTTTCCATCTCGGAAATGAGCAAAGTTAAACTTCACAGAATGCAGAAAAAAGGATTCTTAAATGTTTCTCAAAATCCAACAAGGGTAAAATAGCATACTGCTTGATATCTAAATGGGAACATTGGAGATCATTGAAAACCTTTTCAAAACTGTAAACCCCACCCTGTGGCTCTTACTTGCTAATCTCAACACCAAAAATAGTTAGCAGAAATAGTTAACAATTTGTTTAAAAAAATAAACTCAGGTATTAAGAATAACAGCCATTTAAAATGTCCTTAACTAGGTAAGACATCTTATGCTGCCAATTCAAATTCCATTTCTTTTTTAAATCATAATGATGGGATGTGATTTTCTTTCAAAACAGCAATCTTCATTAGTTTTGCATCACTGTCAGACAAAGAATATTTCCTATGTTTTATGAATTAAAAGAGCCAGAGTATTTGGAAGTTATGTCACTTGCTAAAACCCACAGAGATTTAGGTTGGGGGGTGGGTGGGGAAAGATGTCTGCTCACGATTTCTTGCATCGTGGGACCAGTGCAGATGATCCAGGCAACTCTGAGTGTTAGTTAGGGAGGTTTGAGGTGTTGCTGGTCCTGATGTATTTTCCGAACCCAAATCAAAGTTACAAATGTTGTCCTCCAACCCAAAAGATGAATAGAGAAATGAGGGACACATTGAAAACTAGTTTACAAAAAAAAAAAAAAAAGTCTTTAAAACAAGAGAAAGAAAGGGAACTGCACCTGAGCTGTGCAGATTATTTGTTTAAGAAGGTTCTTGTAGGGGCCCCCTTGCTGGGAATGCATGCGGCATGAACACATCTCCTCTGAAATTCCTGCAGCCAGCCAACATCAGGCTAAGGATGTATGGGAACTTGTATTCAGCAAAAACACTATTTGGCTGTTTGGACTAAGGTGGAGGGTAGATAAACTGAAACCTAGTATGTTCTTCTGTGGAGAATGTTGCTTTTAATTCTCCTTTGCTGGCTTTTCAATCCTGTGATCTGATACGTTAAACTCGATGTGAAAACTAGCTTAAGTGACTTCTGTGAGGTCTGTGTTGCTAAGCGTTCATCCTGGATGCTTCAAGCTCACAAGGATATTTTAACTCTTGAGCCACAAGCTGGATCTTTATCAATAAAAGATCAACGAAAACACGGCCAGCCGGTGAAGCAAACGCAAGCCATGTCTAATGGGATTTTTCACATTTCACATCACTCCTGTTCATTTTTAAATACGGCTGCAGTGGAATTTCTACGCCCCTCCCCCCCCCCCCCCCCCAGCCACTGTAGTGTCTGGATTCCATTGCTTTTGGATTTAAAAATAGGCAGTGATGTAGACGTTATAGCTTTCTCCTTTAATGCATTTGACAGATGTTAATTAAGACCCCCAAACTGTTAATTTATATATTTCTGAAGTCAACACTCCGCGTATTTGCCAACAAGAATGTTATTTGAATTTGATTAAGCAATTTGTTTATCTTCCTTAAGAAAGAGCAGTTACAAACTGTCTTATCTGTATCTCTATATATTTACATACATATATCTATATAGATGATGCATAGAGACATATCTATATAGATAAATAGGTATCAATATGGATAGATTCATGCGTGTGTAAATATATATACACACATATCCATGTCTCGATAGATGCAAGGTGTATGGTTATTGCTGTTACAGTATTCTTTTGAACTTGGTCAGTAAATTACTGGGTCTCGCTGGGTGTGGGGGCTCACACTGTAATCCCTAGCCCTCAGAAGGCTGGGGCTTGAGGATTGACCGTTTGAGGCCAGCCATCCTGAAAGCCTGTCTTAGGAAAATAAATGAAAGACATCAATACCTGGCTGGATGGGAGAGGCCGCTAACTGAGGTCTCATTCATCCCACCTTACTTAAGGGGGACATCCCCTTGCCCCGGGGGTCCTCCTGCCCGGTAGAGTGATTTCTGTTGCTGTGTAGCTGCTGTGGCCGCCAGTGGCGTCTGAAGAAAGTAAACGATCTGACTGCATGTTTTCTAGACACTGTGTAAGAATGCAAACCCGCAGTGGCAGGAACAGTTTGACTTTCACTACTTCTCTGACAGGATGGGCATTTTGGACATTGAAGTGTGGGGCAAAGACGGTAAAAAGCATGAGGAGCGCATGGGCACGTGAGTTTCCCCCTCCCATCCCCCGCTTCTCAGTGTCTGCCCGGTGGGGGTGGGGGTGGGGGGGAGACTACTGCTCACCCCTATCCTATGATCTGGGCTGAGGGGACTCTGAAATCAGGCCTATGGCCAGAGTGATCAGAATTTCATCAGTAGATACTATGCAGTCTTGAAAAAACAGTTGTTTAAAAGCAGAAGAGGGGCTGGGCAGGTGGCTCAGTGGTAGAGCGCTTGCCTTGCATGCAGGAGGCCCTGGGTTCGATTCCTCAGCACCACATAAGCAGAAAAAGCCAGAAGTGGTGCTGTGGCTCAAGTGGTAGAGTGCTTGCCTTGAGCTGAAGAGCTGAGGGACAGCGCCCAGGTCCTGAGTTCAAGCCCCACGACCGACCATTCCCCACCGCCCCCCAAAAAAAGCAGAAGAGAAGACAGGAAGATAGGGTCCCCTATTTCCACAGGAGGTGGGTTTGAGAATCAGGGTTCCAGCAGCTGTTTTGGGATGATTGGTGAAGAAGCTCAATTTCTTTTGAATACTGCACATGGAGAATAAATAGTCAGCGCGGAGTCTTATTTTTGCATAATGGACATTGAGTTCCCCTTTGAGTCTTGCTTCTACTTTGTGCAGGGAAATGTTTCTTTTTACTTTCACGCTGTGGTGCTAAATAAGTCCTTGCTAAACTTAACAGACACAGAGTGAGGAGGGAGAGAGAACAAATCACTCATCACCTGCAGCTCATTGATCGGACAGTGAGGCCCAAGAAGAGAAAAAGATTTCAGGGGGAGAACTAGCATGAGGTCCAGTGCGTAGACTGTTTTTGTTTTTCCTGTCAAGTTCTTAGCTCGGTCTGTGGAAGTCCGTGTTAGTCCTTCCTGCTGTCTTCTCTCAGTAGATCGTTTTTGAGCGAGTTGGAAAGGGATGGAAGTACCCACAGAACATTCTATTGTTTCTCAATGAATGCACCCTCTTGCAGGGCACTGTCTGATTGCAGGGTTATTTCAGCAAGCCTGACTCGCGCGCGCGCACCGATGCCAGTAACTTCCCCTGGCATGTGGAAAATACCTCCACGCGTGCAACACACCGCCTGCGTGCATCCCGTCCCACATGTCCAAAAGCTCCTAGTCATCCTACGCTGTCCTAGCCCTGGTGCCCTGAGCACCATGCTTTGCACCCGCTCCTCCTCTGCAGGCAGCAGTGGCTGCTTTGTTCCCAGCGTCCCCGGGCTAGGTGGTGCACAGGCCAGCACCCTGAGCCACACATCCTTCCAGGCTCAAGGAGCTGACACCCGGGGTCAGTGTTCCACGGTCCTTGCCCGTCGGCGACTAGTCTGACCTTGCTGGCCACTGTTCACTTACATGCAGAAGTGAGACATCTCAGCCGCCTCCCTGCAGCTTGGGCTCTGTGACATATCCGGGCCCCGAACATGGCAACAACCAGGGGGGACAAGGATCCTGGGCTGGCCGGGGAATGGGGAGAAGTTAGGCCACGCAAGGTGCTCTGTGTCCCCAAGTGCCATCTGCACCGTGGGAACCCATCCCCCGGGGGCAAGTGGCCCTCAGATGATTTCAGTCTGTGCATCCATCCCTGTGTCTGTCATGGGGCATTGGTTGTGCAGTGTCCATCACTGGACAGGAAGCTCTTTCCTCAATGAAAAGTTGGGTTGCTTCACAGAGACCAGGGAGAACAGAAGTTGCCCCATTACAATCTAGTGGGTATTATTATTATTGTTACTATTATTATTATTTGTCTCCTGTGGGACTTGAACTCTGGGCATAGGCGCTGTCCCTCAGCTCTTCAGCTCAAGGCGAGTGCTCTACCGCTTGAGCCACAGTTCCACTTCCAGTTTTCTGGTGGTTCATGGGACATAAGAGTCTCTCCAGCTTTCCTTCCCCGTGGCTGTGTAGTTAGGATGACAGGCACAAGCCACCAGCACCCGGCTTATTATTAATTTTTGAGATGCATTGATGATTTAGCTATTTCCTGTTTGTAACTGAGAAGTGGACTTTGATCTCTGGCTCTTCTTTCCTTCTTCTTCATGTGTTGCTTTTTTTTTTTTTTTAAGTATCTTTTCCCTTTGTTTCCTCTCCTGTTGGTGTGGAAAATAGCGGGAGCATCTCTTGGGGGCTGACTTCACGTCCGCTCTTTGCAGGAAAGTTTAGTTGGAGAGAAACCTGTCCTCACCAGAAGCACAGCTGCTCGGATTTGAAGGTGTTGCTGGACAGGCTACTCACAGTTCTTTCTTGATTGCTTTTTTCATCTTTCCCTTCATTCTCAGGCTTTGGATATTTTATGTTCTTAAGTATTTTATATTTAGGAATTTTATGTCCTGGCTGTTGTCTGAATACCTCTTTCTTTCTTTCCTTCTTTCCTTCCTTCCTTCTTTCTTTCTTTCTCTCTCTCTCTTCCTTCTTTCTTTCTTTCTCCTTTTCGCATCAGAAGATTTTCCAACAATGAAACAAGTGACAACTGTCTCCTGAGGTCCTGTCTCATATTTGACCTTGAATAAGTCATTAAAGCCTCCTGGGGGTGAGGTGGATTTTTTTTTCAGAGCAAAGCTTCCCACTGTAGGCACTTTGACACGAAGGTAGAACAAATCTCCAGGACAGTGAGCCCCAGAGTCTCCTCTCTGGTTGTACAAGGGGTTCACCACCAGCTTGAACCTGCTAAGTGACAGTGGCTGTTGACGTTGTCTATGGCGAGTGCTCTTGTTGGTAATTTGGGGGTATTTTTCTAGAAGGCAACTGTAGAAAACCCCTTACTCTGACAATTTTCAAGTCTGCAATTTAAATAATGAAGTATGGCTACTAAAACCCACTATTTAAAAAAAAATACTATGACCTACCCCTGTGAGCCACAGCTCTACTTCTGACATTTTGGTGGTTAATTGGAGATAAGAGTCTCATGGACTTTCCTGTCCAGGCTAGCTTTGAACTTCAATTCTCTGGTCTCTGCCTCCTGAGTAGCTAATGTTATAGACATGAGCTACCTACCTACCTACCTATACCTGACTTGGGTCTAGACTTAACCCACTCTCAAGATTTATTTTTTTAATAAAGTGTAGAACTCTTGAGTATCTACGAATATAGAGTATTCCATTGTGTGCTGTTTCAAAGAAATCCTATTCTCTTAAATGGGTACTTCTTCATTTCAGGCTGATTTTAGAGATGAACTTCTGATGGAATGTTCTTAGACTTCATCTAGTCAAGAAAGGTTGAGAAGAAGAATCCACGAGCCCATTTTGGCCTGCCTCTTGGTCACCTCTCAGTGCCAGATGGTGTCTTATAAAGCGGCTGTGACATTCTCCACATTTATTAGTGGCTTTCCGGCAGTGAAAAATCAGGGCCGGTGTATTTTCTCTGGACAAATTGGCACCCAGGATCATTGATCTGCTTTTACAGCCAGGCTTGGCACGTTTACTGTTTACTTCTGTTTCCCTGGTTCTTTAGCCTCTGAGATGTTCAGCTTTTAAAACTCTCACACTCTCTCCTGCCCCTTTGCGTGGAAGTTAAAAGCTGAACCAGTCTGTAATATAAAACATAGAGTTATGGTAATGAATACGAGGTTAAAAGCCCGTGGTCGGCAAGGAAAACTTGAACAGGTTTGGCTGATGGAGACGGTAAAATTATGTGTTGAATTAGAAACATTAAAAGGCCACAGAATTAATGGTGAAAGACAAGCGCAGGAGGTCAGAAACAATCCAAAATCAGCACATTCACTGCCTGTGGTGGAGAGAGAAAAGGTTTAATATGTCTGCTCTAGAAAAAGAAGAAAGAAAAGGAGTCATTTATTCCCTATTTCCTTTCGGTGTGTAGAACACTCTGGGGTTCTCAGCCTGGGAGGACTACATTTATTTCAGCTGTTTTTCTAATGTAAGGGAAGAAGCAAAAGAGTGGCTAGACAACACTGACGTTATAACTGCATGTGTTTCCTGATTCACGAGGATCTATTTGTATGTGCAGCTTCGTTTATTCAGGAAGTAGAGGCCACGTTGTGTAGTGGAGCTGCTGGGGTGTCATTGGATCGGGTGCGGATAAGGTTGCTTTCTGGGGTACTATGTTTGGGGCTGCTGCACATAGCAGGCAGTACCGCAGAGTGAGGGCTGTGCCTCCCAGTGTGGGAGAAATCCTGAAGGAGGAGGATTTCAGTGGTGCCAGAAGACTGGCTGTTAAGAAACGAAGGTGGCTCAGTGGTAGAGTGCTTGCCTCGCATGCATGAAGCCCTGGGTTCGATTCCACCTACACAGAAAAATCTGGAAGTGGTGCTGTGGTTCAAGTGGTAGAGTGCTAGTGCTAGTCTTGAGCAAAAGAAGCTCAGGGACAGCACCCAGGCCCCGAGTTCAAGCCCCAGCATTGGCAAAAAGAAAATAAAAAGCAGCAGAAAGCGTGTGGATGGAGGAGAACCTTTCTTGGCTTGGTGAGGAAATGGGATCAGTTAGCAATACTTCGTGCTCCATTTGTCCAGGAAAAACCCACTGGGGCACCCAGCCTGCTCAGAAAATACTTTAAATGTTGCTTTAAATAAAAACTCACCAGCTGGCATTAACACTCCCCGAGACTTTCCTGGTCCTTTTGTAGCTCTAACTTGGCAGAGACCTCTCTCTGTTCTCTTCTCATTTACTAAGCCCCTGATGTTGTCTTCTCTTTGATTTGTTTTTACTTCTTTCTCTCCTTAATTTTATTTGTTTGTTTTGTTTTTTTTTTTGCCAGTCTTGGAGCTTGAACTCAGGGCCTGGGCACTGTCTCTAAGCTCTTTTGCTCAAGGCTGGCGCTCTACCACTTGAGCTATACTTCCAGCTTTTTTTTTTTTTTCAAAAGTGGTTAATTGGAAATAAGAGTCACATAGACTTTCCTGCCCAGGCTGGCTTTGAACCATGATCCTCAGATGTCAGCCTCCTGGGTAGCTAGGATGTCAGGCATGAGCCACCCATACCCAGCATCCTTTCCTTCATTTTAGGACAATACTAGCTGTGAGTGCAGATCCTGGACCGCAGCAGCCTCTGTGTCCCTCCACTGTCCAATAAAACTGATCGAAGGCAGAGCTGGGGTTGGGGCTGGGCTTCAAGGGCTTCACCGTGGCCTGAAGTAACCCATTTCTCTTTCCCTGAATTCTTTTTCTTTTCCTAGGTGTAAAGTGGATATCTCTGCCTTCCCGTTGAAACAGGGCAACTGCTTGGAACTACCCTTAGACAGCTGCCCGGGGTCTCTCCTCATGTTGATCACACTTACGCCCTGTGTGGGGGTCTCCATCTCAGATCTGTGTGTCTGCCCCTTAGAAGACCCCAGTGAGCGGAAGCAGATTTGCCAGCGCTATGTGAGTGCTTTGCCACATCATTTACCCTCCTGTCCCCCGCCCCTCCCCACACCACGTCTGTTCCCTGAAAAACTGCATCCAGGGAGATCTTTGTCCCAAGTTTAATGGTGCATCTCATAAAACAAGGTGTCAGACCGCGCTAGGGGTTAATGCATTAGTTTGAAGGTGAAAGGAATATGCCTAGGCTATTTAAAGAGAAGAAAAAAAAATACTGTGTAGTATCGCCTTTAGGAAGTATTTAGCTTTTAGGAAGATCAGTGACATCTTCACGGCATCCACTCCTGCATGTAGAAAGAGGAATTTTAATAGAAGCTAAACAAAAGTAACTTCCTTAACTCTTTAATGTCTACATTGCTCTGCGTACAGAGGGGGGTGCACGAGTCTTAGTTGAGTTGGAGGGAGGCATGCAGTACAATGGATGTTGTTTGTTACTTCTGTTCCCAGGGGGGCGGGCACTGAGTGATGGGTGATTTTTTTCTTTTCCCCTATGCTATGTCCTGGACCACAAACCACTCCTCAGTGGTAGAGCAAAAGGCTTTGCCTTCTCTGTTTATTCTAGTTTTCTGGCTTTTCTAGGTGCCTTTTTTTGCATTCTGGGTTTTTTTTTTTTGTCTCCTGTGCAAATCGATACGTGTCTGCCATCCCTGCAAAACATGTTATAAGCAAGCTACAGGAGCGAAACAAAGATGGATCCCTATTCAATGGCTGTATCTTTCTGTGCTTCCCGGAGCCGTGGCGTATTGATCAGTTGAATAATTCTCTGTCTTCAGGGGTGCAAATCCTAGCTCCATGTCTCATTTTCAGCCCAGAATCTACATGTCAGGTTGACGTAGTGTGGAGTTTGGACAGAATTTACTATTGACATTCTCTCTGATGACTCATTTCCTTAACTAGGAAACGAAAGTTTGAAGGTGAAAATGGAAACTTACCCCTTCCTCCCCCCCAGCTTTCCCACGAATAAGTAGAGAAATGGATGAAATCCATGCGACTTGTTTTGTATTTATAAAGTAACAGTAGTCATGGTAGCCACGAATAATGCCTCAGGGTATGAGGAGTAATCTTTGTAAATGGTTTGAAACACAAAGTGGGTTTGTACACACACACACACACACACACACACACACACACACACACACACACACACACACACACACACACACACACACGCCTGAATGTTGTCGTACACACACATACACACACACACACACACAAATCAGGGCCTGAATGTTGTCGCTGAGCTTTTATGCTCAAGGCTAGCAACTACCATGGGAGCTACAGCTCCATTTCCAGTTTCTTTGGATATTTCCCCTCTGGCTGGCTTTGAATTATGATCCTCAGATCTCAGCCTCCCAAGTAGCTAGGATGATAGGCACAAGCCCCTGGTGCTCAGCAGTTAGTGTTTGTTAAGGGAACATGCTGGTCAAAAATGTCCTAAAGGACCCTGGATTTGTTTGTTAGCTAGGTTGTAAAAATAGATGATATGTTGTGTGTGTGTACACCCCTACCAGGCTTTGAACTCAGGGTCTTATGCTTTCACAGGGCTTTTGTGTTCATGGCCATTTTAGTCACACTTCTATTCTCCATCTTGCTGGTTCTTTGGGGGATGGAGTCTCACGGACTTCTGTGTCTTTCCTGCCTCTGAATTGCAATCCTCAGATCAATGCCTCCTGCATACCTAGGCTTATAGTCATGAGCAATTGGTGCCCAGCAATAATCAATACTCTTTCTAAGACGTTTATCTCTAAATTATTAAATCATTTTGTTCTAGTCCTTTCATGTTAGCTTAGAAATTACATAATTGATTCATTTAGGCTGAACATACGAAGGAGAAACAATGTTTGAAAGGTCTTAGGGCCGGGTGCCTGTGGTTTACACTTATAATCCCATCTACTCAGGAGTCTGAGATCTGAGGATCCAGGTTCAGAGCCATTAACCACCAAAAAGCTGGAAGTAGAGCTGTGGCTCAAGTGGTAGAACACCCTAGCCTTGAACAAACAACCTCAAGGACAGCACCCAGGCCCTGAGTTCATTTCCCAGGAGTGACACACACACACACACACACACACACACACACACACACACACACACACACACACACACACACACACACACACACACACACACACACACACACACACACACACACACACATACACACACGGTACATGAATGCTAAAATGTCTAAAGACTCGGCTAAAACATTAAAAAACAAATTCACTACTTGTAACCCTCAACTCTTTCCATGGGTAATCTCTACGTCGGGCCTCTGTTTAGTCCTCTGGTCTCCATAAAGTTGATCCTAACTAGATCAGAATAATGTTGCCTTTGAGGCAACATTTAAAAGTTGAATTAAAGAGAAAAAGAAGGGAACGAGTGTAATTCTACCCACACATTTTCCCGGTGGGGTATCTCAGCTAACACCAGGGGGCGATGTGAAAAGCAGATTGCAGGCGCTTCTAATTTGTTTATTTTGAGGTTGCAGTTAATTAATTCTCAGTCAGTTTGCTTTTTAATCTGGCTGTTAGAAATGTCGACGTGTCCTGTTGGCTGGCATAATGTGTGTGTGTGTGTGTGTGTGTGTGTGTGTGTGTGTGTATGTATGTAGGTGTGTGTATGCATATATATATATATTGTATATGCAGATTCCATACATACGTGGCTAGGAATTTCACAAGGAAGGGAAGGCAAACCTACACTGTCCTTCCTGTGTGATTTGCGGGTGTTTGTGGTATCTTAGGGCGCTGTCCTCAACCTGTGGCTTTTCTCTCCCGCAGGCTTTGCAGAATTCCCTGAAGGACACAAAGGATGTTGGCATTTTGCAGGTGAAGGTTCTAAAAGCTGTGGACCTCCTAGCAGCAGATTTTTCAGGTACAGAACAACAGCAGCAGAATCCACAACTTCCCAGCGTCTAGAAAAGGAAAGGAAACGGGAAGCAGATTCAAAGATAATGCTTTGGGTCAAGTTGGAAGAGAATACATTTTTAAGGATTGTGGCTGAAACCCCTGGAAAAATGATCGTTTAATATTCATTAATGCATTGCACCTGCTGTGGACATTTTTCCCTAATTCCCCTCTCTTTGTAGTTGCGTCTTCTGAAGATATTAGCTGTTTTCACAAGGGCCTTTGACACTTAAGGCAACTATTTTCCCATGTGCCTTTGACATTTGTGGGTTTCACACACATATTTAGGGTTATCTAGTAACTTTCAAGGATGAACTATTTTGTCTTCTAAGTGCTTTGGTACAGCTTTGTGTTGAATCTGTATCGTTACCGCCTCAGGAAATGTTTTAAGGCCTCTAAGAGAACTTCCTTATTATGCCTTGAGCAGTATTTGTAAGAAAAAAAAAACAAACCCCAAAAACCTTCTTCTGTAGTTGGAGATTTTTGATCTCAAGGAACTAGCACTAATGTATTCAAAGTATTTTTTAAAGCTTTATTTACAACAATATCCACATGTGGATATTATAACCTAATTTATTTTACCCATGGTATCAGTATTGATGTACATCAGTTACTTATGGCTAATGTATCATCTGCAAATAGGTCTTTGACAACCAAATGGTAGAAGAATTTGAAACAAACAAAACCAAAAATAACCAAATAAGAAAATAATGAAAACCAACCAAACAACAAACAACAAACAAGCAAACAAAAAGTCTTAGCAAAATCCATAATATTCGGCAAATCTTGTTTATGGGGGAATGGGTATGGGGGAGAATGGTTGTTTTGTTTTCATTCAACGTATTCACAAGATCATTTTGGAGTGAAAAATCAAAGGGTTCAAATATGGGAAAAAAAGGAAAGAACTGCTTAAAAATGAAATAAAACTGTGTAGTTTGACTAAATGATCTTGTATTTTACTATCTCTGGATTATTTATGAGAAAATTAATGATTCTTCTGATTTGCTAAATATGTCTTTATTCCAGAAGTACTTTTGGGTTTTAGAATCCAGTTTCACCTGCTATGTTTCTTATAAGCATCAAGCTTCTGTGTGAACTTTCTAATGAGCTCTCGTCTAGAAAGGCCTAATCCACACAGTCGCAATCTAACTTTTGGTGGTTGCTGTGCTAGAGTCAGAATCTCTGTTGGTCTTTCTGTGTCTTTCTCTTTGTGTGTGCCAGTAGAGAGGGACTTAAACAAGCTTGGCTCTATCACTTGAGCCTCTGGCATTTTTGGTGACCTCCCACCTCTGGCATTTTTGGTGACCAATTGGAGATAAGCGTCTCAAGGACTTTCCTACTCAGGTTGGCCTCAAACCGTGATTCTCAGATCTCAGTCACTTGACTAGCTAGGGCTACAGCTGTAAGCCATGGGCCCCGGCTGAGACAGGGTTCTCTGTTGCCCGGGCTGACCTCAAACTGGTGTGATCCTTCTGTTTCAGTCTTCCAGCTGCTGGTGTAACAACCGGTGCCATCATGCCCACCAAAATGGGGAGAAAAAGAAATGTGGGTGGAAAAGAGAAGTCATATGAAAACGAGGTGGCAGTATGGATATAGTGAATACTCCTAAGTGGCCAGCAGCCATGACATACAATAGGAACTCAAGTCTGATTGCCATGATCCTTAGTGTTATCCATTGCTTTGGTCTGCAGTACAATGAAAAACCAACCAAAGCCTTTGCTCCCTGGAGGATCAGAAGAGATACAATTGACAGTGCCAGGAACATTTGAGAAATAAGTAACTGCTTATCCTTGATGGAGAGGTGGAGGGCAATCTGTGTCTTCCATGTAGATGAGAAATTTCACCCAACCACGCGAGGACCAGAAGGGGTTGTGCCACTAGGAGGTGCTCTTGGCACGTTTAAAATGCAGGCTCAAGCTCTTCTGGCTTTAGCTCAGCTTCCCATTCATTCTGCAATTGCATGAATCCATGCGTCTGATGGACCAGGATGGAGAGAGGCCCCCAGACAAGGACTTCCTAGTTCTTTCAAACTGCCCTTGGCTCCCTGACATCTTCATAAGTATTTTGAGGGTTAAAACTTTAGGTAAACAGAACTAACATACCCATCAAATGATGCTCTCCTCATTCTTTTTTTTTTTTTTGCTTTTGTTTTTGGGTCTGGTCGTGGGGCCTGAACTCTGGGCCTGGGCGCTGTCCCTCAGCTCTTCAGCTCAAGGCTAGCGCTCTACCACTTGAGCCATAGCACCACTTCTGGCTTTTTTTTTTCTTCCTGCTTATGTGGTGCTGAGGAATCGAACCCAGGGCCTCATGTACGCAAGGCAAGCGCTCTACCACTGAGCCACCTTCCCAGCCCTCCTTCATTCTTTATTACATTTATTTTAGCGGAGTCTAGTGGGAGAGATGTGAAATTTCCAAGGATTTCTTTTTGCTGAATTATTGTGTATCATCTCCTTGATTTTTGGGAATACAAGCATCGCTCCCCTCTTCAGCTCTCCAATCACTATGTTTTTTGGCTTTATCATTGTTATTTTAAGTAGTTGTACAAAGGGGTTTTAAATTCTACAAGTCAGATTGTGAGCACAATGCATCTTAACCAATGTTACCCCTCCTCTCATTCCCCCATCTTTTTAGTCCCATCTCTACCTTCAAGTTACGTAGTTCAATTTTCACATGCTTTTAAAATCTACAGTTGCCGCTCATAAATACTTTGCTGTTTTTTTAAAATTCTGTTTCTCCTGCTAAAAATGAAAAAAAAAAAAAAGCTTTGTGTTAGGGGAATTATCATGCTAAACTAGTTTAATCCTTGTACTTTTTCTATTTTTGGCAATCTGGACTGCAGTCTTATGAATATAAAATAGTTTTGTGAGCTCATCAACTCTTATACATAAAAATGCTGTTCTTTGTAACTGGTGACCAAAACATGATAATCTCAGTGCACTGAAAACCCCCCAAAATACACGGCGGAATTTTATTTTTTCTGCTTAGAGTCTAAGACTGACTTTTGAGTTACTTCTGTGAAAGATTATCAGTAGCTTTGAGCTGTTTGGTAATTTCGTTCTGAGGCGTTAAGTCTGTTTGTGTCAGGAAAGAATTGCCTTGTGGTTATTGTTCGCTCGTAATTTTAGGCCACATGCCCGTTTTCTGGTTGATTTTCATTGTCTGTTTCTGAAAGTCCTACCTGTAGAGATACATCTTCTCTTAAAGACACCATATTTTCTAGGAGGAAAACATGGCCTGGGAGAGAATGGGCTGCTGCTGATGGAATGCTCTTACTTTTCCTGAGATCATTCTAGACAGCTGAGCCCAAATCAAGAACTTGTGAAAAACTATATAAATCCACGTTGGCAAGCCATCTGTTTTAACTGTCAGCCACAGAATAGGGGACCCTGGCCTGTGTAAAGTTGGGGTGGGGTGGGAGGGGGGATGTAAAAGATTGATCAGTTACAAGTTCATGATGTCTGGAGGAGAGGGAATGAAGTCTGTTCATTTGTGGCCTTCCGCAAATTAGCGTGAATCCCTTTGATCTTAGTGGCTGATTCTTCGTTACATCCCAGTGTATTTCAGCACATATTTCTTCTGTGATGGGCTCTGGGTCTTTGACGTCACACCTGTGGACTGAATAATGACCGAGCAGTGACTCTCTAAATGTAATGATATTCATCAGGTCAGGGTCGCGGGGTGGGGACTCTCACCCGAGGGTGCCTGACTGTTTGTATTGAAAGTGGAGTTTGAGCGGATAGCTCAAGGCTGAGAGGGCGTTGGCACAGCGGAGAGCAGGGAAGAGCATTTTGTAACAGGGGAACAGAATGTTCCAAGCAAGCCTGCAATTTACCACCCAAAAGGTGGACGCAGGGGTGTGGCTCAAATGATAGAATGGGGGACCAGCCTTGAGCAAGAACCCCCCCAAAAACAACAACAAAAAGCTAAGGAATAGCACCAGGCCCTAAGTGCAAGCCCCATTGTAGCCCACAAACATGCACATACACACACACACATCTTGCTGTTCAAATGCATTTATTCAAGTGTTGAAAAATATTAAAACAAGGTCCTGAAACTCTTGTATCATGAGAATGGTTCACCAACAGCACAGCAACGTCAAGGTGGTTTGCATCATCTTGAATACAGGAGGTCATTTGGGTATCTGACAACAAAATAGGCAAGAGGAACCCCCCCCCCCCTCAAATCTCTGGGTACCCATCCACCTAGCACTCATCTCTCAGCATACGGGCGAGGAACAGTTGGTTGTTTTGATTTATTAGGGGAGCCTGTGACTCCCCAATATAAAGATTCATCCCTTCAATCTTACTCAGAGCCTGTCCCTCCCCCCCCAACCTTTCGAGAGAAAGGAATCAATCCATAAAGCGTCCATAAATTACTCCGTAAGTGTTTGAACGTCTTTCTTTTCTTCTTGCCGTCTCCCCCGCCGGTGTATGCCGTAATCTTAATAAAGGCAGCATTTTAATGAGCTTTGACGGAATTATCTCGGAGGGTCAGTGCGGCGGGTTCCTGGGGGGGCTGGTGACTGAAGTTTGCGGCGGGGACTGGGGGCCTCATTAGTTAGGACGGCGAAGCACCGGCTTGCTCAGGAGAGCCAGAGCCGCAGCAGGTGCCCACCTGTGCCTCCGCCCCGCCGGGCTGGGTCTGCCCTCCATGCAGTCACCCCGGGCCTTCATCAAAAGTGCCAGGCGGTGTCTCCAGAGCCAGGGCTGATGGCATGTCATGTCGGGGTCTCTGGAGGCGCCGTGTTGACACCTACTAATAGTCTGACACACGGTTAAGTAGCTGTCAAAGCCCAGGTGGCGGAATGGGGGCTGTCATACCTGAGCGGAGCCAGGAGCCAGTGTGCTCTTCACTTTCTCGGTGGGTGAGGCGACCGTGGCGTCTGGCTTTCGTTTGCTCTGCTCGCCCCCCCCCCCCCCCCCCCCCCCGCATCCAACCCAGCCCCTTGCTGCACAGAATGCACGGCCGCAGGCCCCGTCTTGGAAAGACCGCGACTCTCTGTGCACGATGGTGGATTTGTGTGCCCCTGTGTCTGCACCCTCCACTGTTTAAAAGGCTTGGTAGGGGGCTGGGAAGGTGGCTCAGTGGAAGAGCGCTTGCCTTGCAAGGCATGAGGCCCTGGGTTTGATTCCTCAGCATCACATAAACAGAAAAAGCTGGAAGTGGCGCTGTGGTTCAAGTGATAGAGCGCTAGCCTTGAGCTGAAGAGCTGAGGGACAGCGCCCAGGCCCAGAGGTCAGGCTCCACGACCACCACCACCACCAACAACAACAAAAGCTTTGTATGTTTTGGATAGTTAGGAAAAGCGATCAAGGCTACTCTGGTTACAGGTGCAAAAAAAGAAATCTCTTTCTGAGCTCCTACCAGGTGGGGTATAGGTAGTTGGCTAGGTGAGATACCATAGACTAACAAATCTGCCTAGAATTTGGAGAGCAGAATTCATACTGCAAGCGGGTAGAGTCAGACAGGTGGAGGGGTGTGATATTCTGGAGAAACAGTGGGGCGCATTAGACTTTCCTTAGGTTGGAATATTGGCCGAGTTTCTTGTTTCTTCTAATAGATAATCTATCATTCGTTCATTAGTTTGGGGTGTGTGTGTGAGTGTGTGTGTGTGCGTGTGTGCATGCATGCATGCATGCACGTGTATGCCAGTACTGGGGCTTGAACTCAGGGCCTGGTCACTGTACCTTAACTTTTTTTTTGCTCCAGGTTGGTGCTCTTCCACTTGAACTACAGCACCACTTCTGGCTTGTGCATGGACCTTCATGCCTGGGCTGGCTTTGAACCATGATCTTCAGATCTCAGCCTCCTGAGTAGGTAGGATTACTGGCATGTGTCACCAGTGTCTAGCTGAGAGTAAATTTTTTTGAGCCTGACTTCCAGCTTTTGTAGAGATTTGGAGAGCTAGATGACATTATTTCCATTAATTTATTTTCTGCAAAAATTTTGACAAGGATCCTGCCTTTTTATTCATTTTTCATCAGGATCGAGAAGTCTAACTGCTGTATTTATGCCCGTGGCTTGATCGTTGTGTAATGCTGAAGAATGGCACTGATGTAAAAGCCTGGGCTAGTCATCTGAGCGGAACAGCCACGAGTCAGGAGAGGAATCTCCTGTTTAACACTGACCCTCACCCACAATCTGCCCTTTGACATTAAAAAGAAACAAAATACAAGCTCCTGGAAGGCTCTCAGAATGTACAATACCTCAACACTCTTGGTTATTAGGAGGATTAAATGTAGCTTCGGTGCTCAGAACCGTGGGTCAGAGGTCAAGAGGTCTGGGTTCCCTGGACATTAGGCCCTGGCCTAGGACTTCAGGGCCATTTGTTGAAGAAGCACATCTCTTTATGTCCCCCAATTAATTTAGCACACAGCGCTTTACAAAGCACCCGTGTACCCTAGGGGCAGGTGGTCAGTTCATGTCCGATGGCCATTATGGAATGACAGAAGCTTTTTCCTGGCCATTCCAATTCTAGGTCCCTCTGCTAACTGTAACACGGGACAATTTTCACTTGGTAATTTCTGAGATCTAACTTGGATAGTGGGTTTCTCTCTCTCTCTCTCTCTGTATGTGTGTGTGTGTTCGTTTGTTCTTTGGAGCATATGGGAAATAAAGTTGGAGAAGAAGCAAGGGAGGAACATCATTTTTTAACATTAATTGACTGGTCTGTCCAAGTGTGCATGGTCTTCAAGAGTGGCCCGTGTGACCTTCTAATGTACTGAGTATGTAAGATTGCACATCTGACAGAGCTTTAATTCCAGAAGAGGTATTTCTGTGCTATTCTACACCTGAACATGGAATCCTATACGTTTCCACAGACTTCCAATTGGAGTAGTGTATGCATATGAACCTAAAGAGAATCTAAGCAGAAAGAAGAGATGACTGTCACAGAGTGCCTTTGTTTGTTTGTTTGCTGGTCCTGGGCTTGAACTCTGGGCCTGAGTACTGGCCTTGAGCTTTGTGCTCAAGGCTAGTACTCTACTACTCGAGCCACTTGTGGCTTTTTGTTGTTAATGGAAGATAAGAGTTTCACAGCCAGGTCTGGCTTTGAACCATGATCCTCAGGTCTCACCCTCCTGATTAGCTAGGGATTGGGATGTGAGCCATTGGCACCAGGTATTGGAATACCGTTTTTAATGACTACATCCTGTTGAGATGTTCTATACGCTTATGCATTGTGTAATGATTAAGTCAGGGTATTTCGCTGTCAGTTTTACAACTGTATGGTTTCTTTGTAGGTAGAACATTCAAAATAATTTCTTCAAGCCATTTTGAATGAGCCAAGACAATCTTTCTAAGGACAGCCAAGTTGTCATGAAGTAGAACGCAAGAACTTTTTCCTCCTGCCTCACTGTGATTTTGTATGCGTAGGCCAGACATTCTCAGATCTTACTTTCCTTCCCTCTCTGCTCTCCTGAAATCACTGTCCTGTTGACGTCCACGGGAACAGCTCTTTGATATATTCGGGTGACATCATGTTATGTGCTCTTCTGTGAGTGACTTATGTCCTCCAGACTCATCCATGTTATTAAAAATGCACAAGTACCAATCTTTTTTCCTGACTGAATAGTGGACCAAGGTGTAGGTGAACCTCATTTTCTTTGTCCTTCCATAAATTGATGAGCACATAGGTCGCATCCTTTTTTAAAATGTTAATTTTGTGCCTCTGGGGGTCAGTGCTCCAATAATCATGCGAAAGTGGGATTATCTTTCAACATACTGATCGTTTCCTTGGGTTGCATGCCTGACAGTGGTCTAGCTGGATTCCACAATCATCCCAGTGGTAATTTGTTGAGGAAGCTCCATTCCATTTTTTTTTCTATGATGGTATTCATTTGCATTCCTTCCAGAAATGGTTATAATCATCTCCACCTCCATTTCCACACCAACATTTGTGAATTTTTTTGCCTTTTTGAGGGGGAAGGGGAGATGGTACTGGGTTTGAACTCAAGGCCTCAAAGTCTTGCTCAGCTTGTTTTTTGTTTTTTTTATGCTGTTCAAGGCTGGTGCTCTACCACTTGAGCCATACCTGCACTTCCAGCTTTCTGCTTGTGAACTGGAGATAAGAGTCCCATGGATTATTTTTTTCCTGCCATGAGTCACTGGTGGGTGATGAACTTTTTGCCTTTTTGATAACAGCCATTCTGCCTTGTACTTGGTTTGCATTGTCCTGATGATATGTGATGCTGGTGCCCTCTCTCGTGAGACCTGGTGCTCACCTTGCTTTTAGAGTTACTTCTCAGGCTAGGTATCAGTCTGGGATCCTTTAAGATGCTCCTTCCTGGTTGGGTGTTTGTAGCTCCAGAATCCCTCACTGGCCCTCTACAGAGCTTGTGGGAAAAGGAACCTCACTTCCGTCTTTGGGCAAACACAAGTTCATTGTGGGAAAAGCGAATGGCCGCCTTTCACTTTGCTTGTGTCCTTTGGGAGGTCCATTTGTCTTTGAGCCAGTGTTCTCTGTCAATGTCTTCTTCATTCTCTTTCTAGGAAAGAGCGATCCTTTCTGCTTGCTGGAGTTGGGTAATGATCGGCTGCAGACACATACCATTTACAAGAACCTCAACCCGGAGTGGAACAAAGTCTTTACCTTGTAAGTGCCTTGGCCTCTGCTATTTGCAGGAGCAGCTTTATTTATTTATATTTTGTCTTTCAGTGGTTGTACGAAGGAGGTGCCATATAAGAAACCAGTTTAGGAACTCAGTGCATCTTCCTCGGTGCCATCCCTTCAACATTCTCGCCCTCCTTTGACCCATCTTTCCCTTACTATTTTCTTTCATCTTCTGTGTTTTTTTTGGCCTTTCCTTTTTTTTTTTTTGGTACTAGGGATCAAACCCAGGACATTGCAGATCCTAGACAAGTGCCCCTTACTTTTCTTCATTTTGTGGTCTAGACAATGAATTCTTTTTTCTTTTTGCCAGTCCTGGAGCTTGAATTCTGGGCCTGGGCACTGTCCCAGAGCTTCTTTTGCTCAAGGCTAGTGCTCTACCATAGAAGCCACAGTGATACTTCCAGTTTTTTTTTAAGTAGTTTCTTAATGATAGAGTTTCATGGACTTCTTGCCTGAGCTGGTTTCGAACCGTAACCCTCAGATATCTCAGCCTCCCAAGTAGCTTGGATTACAGGTGTGAGCCATCAGTATCTGGCTTTTACAGTTAATTCTTGACCTCATTTTCCCCCTTCCCCTCTTCATTTGTCTACCTCTCTCCCATTGGTCCCATTCCCTTCCCTTCTTGCATGTACCCATTTCCTCGTGTTGATTTTGTTGGGCTCTGACCTAATCTTTCTAAAAGATTATACTATTTGAGCTCTCTGTAGGGTCTGCTTTACGTCATTTAATTCAGTTGTACTCACTTGCGTGCTGCCCATTATTTATAGATTTATAGGCATATCCTATCCACCACAGACAAGGGAAAGCATGCAGCCCTTGCTGCTCTGTGTCTGGCTTACTTAATATAATTTTTTCCAAGTCTCTCCTTTTCCTTATGAATGGTACAACATTATTCTTTCTAATAGATAAGTAAAGTTCCATTGTGTGTTTACATTACATTTTCTCAATGCATTTGTCCATTGAAAAGGGCATCTGGGCAGATTCCATTTAATGTGTGGGGTAGTCTGGGTTCCTTAAGTGGAATGAAACTGCTAAATTTTTATGTACAGAGAGCCACTTTTATTATTATTTTTCCTTCCACAAAACTCTCATCTTTTTGTCGTATAGAGTATGATGTTGATAATAGAAAAGACTATTTGGAACTGCAGTGGCACATTAGAAGAGTAGTTTTGAAAAGTTGATCACTTAGGGATCACTAAGTTTACCTGTGAGTAGATGGAAACTCATCTATCTAGACTAATTCATTTCTGAGTTAATGAAAAGTTACAAATGGAGACCTGTCCTAAATTCGGGGAGCTTAGATGTTATGATAATACTTCAATGGGCAAAGCGTTATGTTCTGCTACCGCTGCCATCGTTGGGAAAATACAGGTTATCTGTGAACCCTTAGACTCCTCATGCCTTCCTCTATTCTCACTTATCCCGGTGACCTTTTCCTTATAGCCGTGCCCCTTGTACTCCATCAAACTAGGCCATGTAGGAGACTTAGATGGATTCAAGGTTCAGAGATTGCATTAGCTTGCAAGGCCCCTGACTATCAAGGGAGGGCTTTTGGATTTGGCGGGTTGATGCTACCGTCAGGTCCCCCCTTCCCCCAAAGGCTGGGTAAAATGCTCAGGCTGTGCCAACAAATTTAAGTTTGTTTCAAATGCGGCTGATTGTATTCGTAGTGTTTCCCAAGGGCATGGGAGAAGGGAATCTGTGTTGTTAACCGAGGTCTACCAGATGCCTGGTGTAAGAGTTTCCTGTTTTCTGAGTGTACTGCCAGTGGTCCGTGACGCCAGTGTTCATTCCCACTGGGGGTCTGGCTTCTGGTCCATATAAAGAAAAAATTATTCTTAAATATGCATGGTGGGGTGTTTTGTATTTCCACCATGGGAGATTAAAAAGAAAGGATGTCAGCACAGAGTGAGTTTTACCACTTTGCCGTTTCAAATGAGAAGCCTTCATTAATTGAAAGAAATAGGGTCTTTTCACTTTTCTTTGACATTGCTTTCTCTTTTACCTCCTTGTTCTTTTTTTTAAACATCTCTCCTTTTCATTCTTAATTCCTGTTTCTTTAACAATCTCAGCCATGATTGCATGCCCATTAGAAAATGTCACAGTAAAAAGTTGCCTCTTTTTTTTTGCAATGGATGTCTGAATTGTGTATGATGGAAGGTTTGGGAATACAGTCAGTTTGATTTAATTTTTGGAATTTAATTAAATGGTAGTTTTATACTCAGAGGACACACAGGCTTAATTAGCGAATCTGTGTTTTTAGACCTTCATGGAACAGACTTCATGTGTGTGTGTGTGTGTGTGTTTGTGTGTAACACTTGATATTTCTTATTTCAGTCCAATTAAAGATATCCATGATGTTCTGGAAGTGACCGTGCTTGATGAAGATGGAGATAAGCCCCCTGATTTTCTTGGAAAAGTTGCCATTCCTTTGCTATCTGTAAGTTCTTGCTGTTAATCAACCATTCGTGACTCATTTTAGAGCCAACCAGTTTCGCAGGTCGAGTTGCTTTATCTTTCTCAGAGTGTGTTTTGGGGGGGGGGGGCGGGAAATTCCTGCTAGCTGTTTTCAGAAACTGCTGTTTATTTCTCTCCTTTTATTTCAGATGTAAGCAGACATACTCTTTTCTGTGTTTGCCTAGTACTGACTTAGCCAATCCAAACATTTTGACCAGTCTTTCAATTCATTCTGTCTTTCATTCCTTTCTATTGGATTTCAAGGAATTCTCTCTCTCTCTCTCTCCATATCTTAAGGCCAAACACACATGTATTTTAAAACACATTTTTAAAAATGATGAATTGCTGGTGAACACACATTTGTTCTTTGTTCAGCTACCCCAAAGTTTCATTTATCTTTTGGGTAGTGATTTTATTTTCAAACTCACAAGATACTTCGTGTGGAAGAAAGTACAGGGGTCTCACTTGGAGAAGGAAGAGGATTTACTGTGTTCAGTGAGGGGGAAGCCAAGAGGAAAACTGAATAAAAAAAATACTTATCAAGTACCTCAGAGAAAGCATTCGCCATCTCCTTTCCAGGAGTAAAGGGGAGAGGTGGGGACTGAATTTATTATTTAATTGGACACTAGAAGAATGTGGCTTGAACTCTTCTAAAGGAGTGAATTTCAGCTTCTCATCCGGCCATTAAACACAATTTGTTGTAGAGTTGTTATGCCTTCATCAGCCAGTAAGACTTTATTTCTTCCCTAAGACTTATTCCTCCCTCCCCTCCCCCAAAGCTATTTGCGTATTTTCATGGATGGAGCTCTTTGTAATTTAACCACGGGATGGATCTAGCTCCGGCACTGTTTACGGAAGAGGGGGCTGCGTGGTACCTCTTAATATCTCTTCGCCGGCTTTTGATCGCTTGGTTAATTTCTCCCCAAGTTCTCATATCCCTGATGTTACCCCGCTAGCCTGCCTGGAGCATCTGTTCCCTTCTACCACCCGCTCCTGCCAAATGCTCTGAGCCTCTGGTGCTGGGCTCCGGGACTCAGAGAGAAGACATGGTAATTTGGGATTTCCTCCCCCTGCCTTTTTTTTTATTATTACATACGCTGTCAGTTATTCCTGGAAGAACACATGTAACCAGAATATGGGGTTCACTTTTATAGAGGTCTAAAGGAGCAGAAGCATTCTTTTACAATTATTTCCTCCTCCTCCTCTTCCTCCCCTTCCTCTTCTTCCTCCTCCTCCTCTTCCTCCCCTTCCTCTTCTTCTTCCTCCTCCTCCTCTCTGACAGTTCTCCATGCACTTTTGTAGACAGGTCAATATTTATACAACATTTTCTTGCTAGGTGAATAGAATTCTTTGAATTAACTATATATGTAAAACAGGAAAGCATCATCTATTTTTTGTTTTTTGTTTTTTTTTGGTGGCAGTTCTGGGGTTTTGAACTCAAGGCCTGGACACTGTTCTTTAGCTTTTGTGCTCAAGGATGATGTTCTTTTTTTGGGGGTGGTTAATTGAAGATAAGAATCTCATGGACTTATTCTTTTTTTTTTTCTTTTTGGCTAGGGCTGGCTTTGAACTCAGCTACCTGAGTAGTTGCATCTTGAAACAATAACAGAGAGTCCTCTGCACGCACTCTGCCCCACAGAAGCTCAGAGTTCTCAGTGAACAGAGCATACACCTCTTGTCCTTCACCAGTAGAGGCTTTACTTAATTAACTTTATGGGGCGAATTTTCTAAAACAGTTTGCTCACAGTAAGTGTGGCACAAATCCTTATTTGCATTTCCAATGGGGCATTCAGCCACATGGGCTCACCTGTGCGGAGTTTTCTTTTTATTTTAATTTTTTGTCAGTTGTGGGACCTGAACTCAGGGCCTGGGCGCTGCCCCTCAGCTCTCCAGCTCAAGGCTGGCGCTCTACCACTTCAGCTATAGCACCCCTTGTGTTTTTTTTTCTGCTTATGTGGTACTGAAGAATCGAACCCAGGGCCTCATGCATGCAAGGCAAGCGCTCTACCAGGGAACCACCTTCCCAGTCCACCTGTGTGGAGTTTTTCCCTTACATGATCATGATTCGCAGAGTGATACGTGGTTTTTAGATGGTTGCAACAAAATTTTTGCCATTGAGGTAGATAATATTGGTATTCAATGCAATGTGAAGGGCAAACATTCTGTTACCACAGTTAGCGATCCAGAAGATAGTTGATCAGGGAATTCTTTATGTGAGTGAGCTTGAAGCCATGGTGGAGGCCAGGTACAAAGGGAGACCCATGTGATCATGTACTTATAACCACAATCAATAGGTTCATTGGCTTGGATTGTTTTAATTCTAAGTGTACACCTATCTCTTGGTCAACTACCCGCTTTGATACATATACTTCTTTCAGTATGGATGTCAAATACGCAAAGGATTAAAAATGTCACAGAGAAAATCATCAACTTTGTACAATTAATATATGCCAATAAATGTAGAGAGAAAATAGTCTCGACCTGGATCTCAGTGCGGGGCTGAAAATGGTCACTTTTCCACACAGACAATCCACATTCCTCATCTCCTACTCATGGTCCAACACGTCCACTGAAAGAAATAAAAGACGATCAGTAAAATTTTCCATCTGCTCTAGAACCTGAGAAAGAATACCTTAAACATGTTGGAGGTGTCAGGACCCTACTCAGGACGTGGAATGGGTCTCTGGCTCTCCTTCTCCTACCTAGCTGGGATTATAGGCATATGCCACCACCGTCTGGTCAGGCTGTGATTGTTCCTGAAAACCCCAATGTTTGTCAGTCCAAATTCTAGAATGTGTTTGTCAGCAGCAAACATCCCCATGGGCCACTTGACAGCTACTAGATTTCTAGGCCTGAGGTTCTAGAATTTTCTTTCACTATCTAAGCAATTTCTAGACAAAGTAGTGGCAAGGTTTAGACAATAAGCTGTCAATATGATGTAGGTGTATTCATGCAGATAGAAAATAGAACATACTTTGCTCAGATACCCATTGGGTAACTCCTCAGATTCTAGGAAGGGCCACTTTACACTGTGGTTGCACTACTATAAAAAGAGAATTTAATAACAAGAGAAACAAATGTGGAACTACTTGATGGGGAATATATCCCAAGTATCTAACGTGGATATTGAAATTTACAATGAAAGACTTCTTGAAAAAATTGACAATTAAATACTATACGTATAACCTAGGGAAAAAGCCAAAGTTTTGTTCACGGGAAATTCGTAACTTGAATGGCTTTATCATTAAACAAACATAAATGTTGAAAATTAATTAAGGGCTTCACCAAAAGAAACAACCATGAATAAAATAAAGTAGGAAGGAATTTGTGAAAGTCTTGGTGGATAGCTCAACAGTAGAGTATTTGTCCGATATGCACAAAACCCTGGGTTCACATCCCAGCATTGGAAAAGAACATAAACCCAAGGAGCACAGAGAAATGAAAAGAAAAATGAAAAGAGCAGTAGTAACACAGAAAACAATGGATAGAATCAAGCACTCCATGTATTAGTTCCTTCCCTCTTCAAAGAGCCAGTGAAATGGACAAGCCATTCATTACAAGGTTAATCTGAAGAGACGAAAATATGTAAATTAAGAGTGCACCTTTAAATCTACAAGTAAACATACTGGTGTGCAAGTGGTTACAAATGAATTACCTAAAGTAGAATAGACTCTATGTGGGGCTCCAGGAACATACTTTTCTTTAGAAAGACTAAGTCAAAGCCTAAACCAATTACTTTTTTTCCTCCTCTTTATATTTTATAGTTCTAGGGATTGAATTAAAGACCTCAACACACTTGGTAGGCAGAGGCTCTACCTTGTGAGCCTAGCCTCTAACCCTTTTTGCTCTAGCTTGCTTATTTTTTGTCAGCTGGGATCTCTGTTTTTTTACTCTGGCCAGCATTAGACTTTGATCTGTCCACCTCTGCTTCCTGAGTAGCTGGGATGGTAGGATGTGGTATGACTTCTGTTTTTTTTTGTGTGTATTTTGTTGTTTGTCGGTTGTGGAGCTTGAACTCTGGGCCTGGGCGCTGTCCCTCAGCTCTTCAGGTCAAGGCAGGTGCTCTACCTCTTGAGCTACAATGCCATTTCCAGTTTTCTAGTGGTATACTGGAGATAAAGAGTCTCACAGGGGCTGGGAAGGTGGCTCAGTGGTAGAGCGCTTGCCTTGCATTCATGAGGCCGTAGGTTCCATTCCTCAGCACCACATAAGCAGAAAAAGCTGGAAGTACCACTATGGCTCAAGTGGTAGAGCACTAGTCTTGAGCTGAAGAGCTGAGGGACAGTGCCCAGGCCGAGTTCAGGCCCCATGACCGACAAAGAGAAAAAAAAAAAGAATCTCATGAACTTTCTGACCTGGGCTAACTTTGAACCATGATTCTCAGATCTCAGCCTCCTGAGTAGCTAGGATGACAGGCATGAGCCACTGGCTCCTGGCTGGTTGGTTTTTGAGTTAGGATCTTAACTGACTTTGCCTGGGAAGGTCTTGAACCACAAGTTCCTCCTCTTCCGGCTTCCCAAGTGGCTGAGATTACAGGTCTATACCACTCAGCTTGGTTTAATGTTTTTTCTTTTTTAAGATATTAAAAAGTTCCTGCATTTACAGTTTGTTTCAGGAGGGTTAATATTTACTTATACAGAATAAACATCGAATGGTTCAACGGTGACCACAGTTTAAACTTTCAACCTAGACTACCTTCTCAGCAACTTCTCCTTCGGCCCCCACGCCCTGAACCATTGCTTAGAAAGAAGACTTCCTGAAGGTCCTTTTTTCACTGGCTAATGATGCCAGCAATTGACTGTTACTTTGCTCCTGAGCAAAAGCTTTCTGATGAGTCATAGTGTGTCGGAAAATGACAGAAAGGTCCTGGAAATGCTTATTTTTCTGCTGATGAGAATGGCTCTTCCTGTGTCATTGCTCTGTGGAGCTGCTTTTGCTCATGGTGTCTTTTAGGAGCATGTGCTGCTTTTCTGCACAGAGGTGAATATGAAGATAAGGGTCTTTGAGTGACTTAGAGTTTACTTTGTGAAACTCAGTTTAGGATTTTATTGAAGACCATTATTCTTCAGTAAAATGACCTCTTTCCAGATCTCAGCCCAGAAGGAATTTCCAAGTGAATGGAGAATCTTCCCTTAGGGATGAGTTACATACTCTGTCACTTTTCTTTTTAAGTCTGTAGATGGGGACATCTCAGCGTTAACTTGTGGTAAAGTTTTAAGCAGCTCTCATTTCTAGGATGAAGGTATACATGAGTCATGACTCCTTAAAATAGTCTTTTGACTAGGGTTATATGTTTCTCATTTAGTAGATGTTTGAAACCATACACTGTGAGAGATGACATTGAAGCTTCTTAAAAAATTCAGATGTATGTTTTTAAAAAATTATCTTTAGGTAGTTGTACAGAGGGGTTATACTTTGATCTATCTGCTTTTGGGTACAATGCATTTTGATTAAGAGCAACCCTTCCATTGTTTTAAGTATAAATGGGAAACCTGGCTTTAGGCAGGTGTGTGGCTCAATTTAATTTCCTAGCCTGGATATGCTCTCATGGAGGAGATTGGCAAGTGCACATGCATTCTGGTGTTTCTATGTTGGAAGTTGAATCCTATGGAGTGGGCAGAAATGAAAAGATAATTTCTTCTGTTACTATGCTAGTGTTTACGTATGTTGTTACATAGTCATCTCCTCTTCCTCCTCTTCGTCCTCCTCCTCCTTTTTTTTGGTGTGTCATGGGGCCTGAACTCTGGGCCTGGGCGCGGTCCCTCAGCTCTTCAGCTCAAGGCTAGCGCTCTACCACTTGAGCCACAGCGCCACTTCTGGCCTTTTCTGCTTAAGTGGTGCTGAAGAATCAAACCCAGGGCCTCATGTGTGTGAGGCAAGCACTCTACCACTGAACCACCTTCCCAGCTCCCATCTACCTGTTTTTAACCCACGTGCATTTCTAACAGATTTATGCTTTCTCTTCTTCAAACCTGTTACCACTTTCCAAGCAACATTTTTAGATAATGGCTTTAAAAAACAAAAAATCGACAAGAGTTGTCAAAAGAATCAAGAATTTGTTCCTTATTTGTATTTTGAATATTGTATAGCAGTAAAAAAGTGAGACATACACCCCTATATAAATATATATATATATATATATATATAAATTAGCAAATCATATTGGTAGATCCAAAATAAAGTTGTAAAATTCACTCAGTTTATTACTTTGGTAAAAGAAAATTTTAAGCAGTTTTTGTCAGAGCTATTTTAAGAGCATGAAGTTTCAATAAAAATAAAAGATATGAACCAAATTCCTATCTTAAGTTCTGCTAAGGGGAAGGGCTGTATAGTTTGGGAGTGTCAAAAGGGATTTAAGTTTATCTTGTTGGTAATTTTCAAACTCAGACAGTATGTTTTAAGTGCTAAGCACGAACAGCTTAATTGTACCTCTGGCTTTGATGATGGCTTTCATGTTCCTAGGTGGATTCTGGTCTTTGCGGACACAATGGAAGGGACATTGAGTAACAGGATATGGCCATTGACCAAATTAAAAAAAAGGAAAAAAAAATCTCCTTTTGCTATAACATATTTCTTTTTATACGGATACCTCTGGTTCTTCCGTTGACCTTCCCTGTTCCTTAAGCAATCATGGAAATTTTAAGATAGCCTTACAATGAGTGAGGCTTGAAACAAATACAATTGGGCTGACTTCAGCGTGGCCAAGTGACATTCCATTTCTGTATTTATTTCTTTCAACTTTAACACCCACCATTTATTAAGTGAGGCTGTGTATCGGAGCGGAAACTCCAGATCCTGTTTGGACACCGTGGAGGAAGGAAACCCGGTCTTTATAGGGGGCAGCCCTTTCCTCCCAGTCACTGGCCAGGAAAACCATCTTTCTGTATAAAAGCTATTCAATCAGAGAGAGGTGGGGTGACTTGGGGAAGGAAGATACCTCTCCCTTGTAATGTTCAATTACTGCTTCCCCCTGTGCCAGATTCACCTCATTTCCCTCACTGTTTATAAGAACACTTGTGTGAAGGCTTGTAATGACACCAATAGTCACTTAAAATATGGCTCAGATTTCATGCCCTTGAGTTTCCTAAGTTAAATGATTGATCATTACAATCCCTTGTGGGACACACAGTCAACCCGAATTTGCCATGGCTCTCTTAGAGTTAACAGCATACTGCTTAAAATCCAGAATATTTTTATCTGTCTCTGCCTGTCTGCCTGTCTGCCTGTCTGTCTGCCTGTCTGTCTGTCTGTCTGTCTGTCTGTCTGCCTGTCTGTCTGTCTGCCTGCCTGCCTGCCTGCCTGCCTGCCTGTCTGCCTGCCTGTCTGCCTGTCTGCCTGTCTGTCTGTCTGTCTGTCTGCCTGTCTGCCTGTCTGTCTGTCTGTCTACCTGCCTGCCTGCCTGCCTGCCTGCCTGCCTGTCTGTCTGTCTGCCTGCCTGCCTGTCTGCCTGCCTGCCTGCCTGCCTGCCTGCCTGCCTGCCTGCCTGCCTGCCTGCCTGTTTTATCTACATATTTACATATGTATGTATGCATCTATCTGTCTGTCCATCCATCCCATTCCCATGTATCAAGATGTATGACTCTTACCAAATCTGAACATGATTAAAGCTAGCTAATGAAGTTGGCCTTTTGTGGAAGCTGACTACTTTCTAAAATAATGCAGGAGTTGTTTTTCATAGATGTAAGCTGTGTCTACAGGTAGCTTAGTGATTGAGGAAGAGAGGGGGTAGAGGTAGTACAGGTAGAGAGCAGACGTTGGAAGGACTTGTGGGTTAGGAAGGTTTACTGGCCCTTTGGGCAGTTTTGAATGATTTTGACCTCAACTTGAGCTAAATTGATTGACTTATTTGCTGTGCATTGTTTCTGAGTGAGAGAAACGCCGATCCCTTTATTTAAAAAAAAAAAGGTTCCTTTTTTGTCCAACATATTTTAATGCTCTATTTGGGGAATAATGTTAAACTTAGAAACGGCAGAGTGTCCTCAGTAACCTTTCGGCTACCTTCTCCTCCTGTGAGCATCTTAACTTTACCATGATGCATTTGTCAAAGCCTCTGTCGGGGAAGTGTTATTAATAAACTCAACTTTGGTCTTTGTTTGGATTTTTGTAGCTTTTGCACTAATGTCCTTTGCGGCGTCAGGGTCTAATTCAGAACACCACATGGCATTTACACATCTCGTTTCCCATGTCTCTTCTGATTTATGACAGTTTCCTAGTCCGTGATTTCCCTTCTCACCCCCTGGCCTTGTCAATCTGGAGGAAGATTGGCCAGAGTTTAAGCTATCATTTTTGAGAATGTGGAAATGTATAACCTCTGAGATGTTGGAAGGAAAAACAAACAAACACTTGCGTAGTTTAATTTGTACCAATCAACACACCTGTTAATTTATCTTCCTAGCAGATAAAGGACTCTAGCACTAAACATTGATTTAGGATGGATATTTGTTTCATCAGGAATCATTCTACATTCTCTACCTTGTCAAAGTTAGCTTTGGTTATTCCATTTCAGTGACAAAGTTTATACCAGAAACTGGGGTATGGGGGTGTGTATATGTGGGGCGGGGTGGGGGGTAGATTGCCTGCCTAAAAACACTAGGCCCTGAGTTCAAAGGTATTACCATCCCAACCAGTAGACAAGAGTTGCTTTAATATCGATTCCATCTTTTTGGTTTGAACAGATTAGAGATGGACAACCGAATTGTTATGTATTGAAGAATAAAGATTTAGAACAAGCATTTAAAGGAACAATTTACTTAGAAATGGACCTCATATATAATCCAGTAAGTCTTACAACATCATACTTCCCATTTATTCCATAGCTAAAGACAACCCTAGCGTGTTTACTTGTAGATTTAGAGGCACATTTTAGTTAACCACCAAGGAGAGAAACCATGGGACCTGTGTTTCTTTGGATCCGGTTTACTTCACTTAATATAATTTTTTCCAAGCCTTTCCATTTCCTTACAAATGGAATGTGAACTGTACATCTTGTGGGTGGGGATGGGAGGGAAAAACTGGGAGAGAGAGAGAGAGGGAAGGGGAGACATGGTTCAAAAAGAGATGTACTTATTACTCATGTAACTGTAACCCCTCTGTATATCCTCTACAGTAACAATAATGTGTGTGTGTATATGTATGTGTATGAATTCTACCCTTTTTAACAATGATGTTTTCTAGGTCAAAGCAAGTCTGAGGACATTTACTCCCAGAGAAAAGCGCTTTGTTGAAGATAGCCGCAAGCTGTCAAAGAAGGTAGGTGTGGACACGAGAAGCAGGCTTGGCACCATAGTTCAGCACCTGGACCGAAGTCATCTGTTGTGCCTTGGCTTGTGCCTCTTCATCTCCCACCAACTCCTGTCTCCTCCCATATTCCTTCATCTCTCTACTTCTTTGTCATTGTCTCCATCCCAGGAGAGGGTTTTAGAGAGCTTGCTAAGACTCAAGGGGGCAGCGGCTCATGTCTGTAATCCTGGCTACTCAGGTGGTTGAGATCATAGTTCAAAGTCAGCCTGGGCAGAAAAGTCCATGAGGCTCTTCATCTCCAAGGAACCCAGCAAACAAGCTATCAGTGGAACAGTAGCTCAAGTGGTAGAGCTCTAGCCTTGAATGAATAAGCTAACTACGGACAGCACCAGGCCCTGAGTTCAAGCCCCAGGACCGGCACAAAAACAATCCACAACCCCAAAAACATAGCCATCGGGGAAAGAAGAAGCTATCAGCTTCTAGGATGTTCCTGAATCTTCTTCTAGATGACGTTTTCCATCGCAGAACATGAATGCTGTCCCGATTTCCTTGGTGGCCCTCCTGTGCTCACTCAACCTTTTAATCTCTGTGGGTCGCAGGAAGCTTTCCTCTCTGCTGATGGTAAAGAAAGGCTGCCCAGCGGGTTTGTGGGGGGGGGGGGGCTGTGGACCCCGGGTTCCCCAAACATAACTTTTACGTAGTCTAAATGTGGTCCCTGTTGACATTTTACCCCACAAGGAATTAACTCCCTCTTCCTGTCACCCTCAATTCCTCTCCGTTGAACAAAAAGTGAAGTTTCGGGACAGAAAGGGGACCTTTCACCTTATTTATCTATTTTTGGATTATGAGCTTGATCGCTTGGTTCAGAGTTCCACTCCCCCCTCCCCTTGTTTGAGACACACCCTAGCTTTGCGTTCTGTCCCCCCTGTCCTCTCGAGTTGTTTGGCAGAGGACAGCGTGTCCCCCTTTTCAGAGTGTTTATTACTTCCACCATTTCCTCTGCGGGGAGCAGCTGTGGACGACACAGAGCCACGGGCTATGAAAGCATCTTATCCTGTTGTTCCCTGGGGAACTTTTTGGGTGTGCTGGGCAAAGCCTGTGCCTGTCTTGGAAAGAGAAACATCCCCCGTGTTGAGAGCTGGTCTACCAGGGCCTTGAGTGTCATATTTATTTTGTGTAATCTGAGTTTTATTATTTATTATTATTGTTATGATTGCCTTTCTCTCCGCTTGAAAGTTAAAACCCGACTTAGGGTTGTTGGCTCATCTGCTTTGCAGACAAATTGAAATGAATCTGCCTACCACTGAGAGAGAAAGACATTTCCTTTGCAAAACAAGATCTCCTCCACGTGGGGTGTCTCTGGGCTCTGAGAGCAGCCAGGGATGGGGGATTGAAATCCCGGGGTGTGTCAGGACTCTCTCCCTGTGCTGCTTATTACTGAGCCTCACTAGATGTTCACAACAGTTGAAACGTTTGCTTAGGAGATAAATACTTCAAAGCGATTGGCTATATAGCAGTACTCCTCCCTCCCCCCAGGCCCTTAATTCTCACAGCTGCTTGTAAGAGGAGATGTAATATTAACCCAATTGGGTGAGAGAGGTTAAGAAAGTTGTCCAAGGTGGCACAGCTAGGAAGTGGCAGAATTGGAATCCCCTTCCCAAATGATATTTTCTCATAAACTTCTGGCCTAGAGCAGTTGTAGTAATTGCCAGTGTCTGCTATTAGTCCGGCCATTTGCTTCCAAACAAAATGCCAACCCTCAGTCCTATTTTTTTTAAACTGCTTTCATCTTATTATACTTCTGTATTTTTCTCTCTCAAGCTCTCTATTTCTTCCCTTTCTTTCTCTTTCCCTTCTCTCAAACTTTCTGTTTCTTTCTCTATCTCTTTTCTCTCTCTCTTCCTTCTATCTCCCCTACATATACAGTCCTACTCCAAAATGCCTGGTTGCAGTACTGAATATTACTAAACATTATTAAAACAGATGAACTTCAGAGTAATTGGATGTGCTTTTCCTTTGGGGATAATATTTTAAGCAGAGTTTTAGAAGTAGAGGAGTCTTCCCTTTGCTTATTCAATTGGTACCTCTGTAGGATATAATTTAAATGGCTAGTCTTCTTGATATAAAGGAACTATTTGGAATACTTTTTGTATTTTTTTTAAATCAGATTTTGTCGAGAGATGTAGACCGGGTAAAAAGACTCTCCTTGGCGATATGGAATACAATACAGTTCCTCAAAGGTTGTTTTCAGTGGGAATCCACGTTGCGAAGTACAATAGCATTCGTGGTAAGTTTCCTTTTATGTCCAAATTAATTGCTGTGTGTTCATCTCCATTGGTCTTTCTATGATATCTCCTGGCACAGGAGGTTATGAAGGAAGTTATCTTTCTCATGCTGTACTTACCCTTACCTAAGGGTGAAAGTTAACATGTGAAAATCTGGTCTTAACTCGAATCCTACTCAGACATTGTTTCGTGGCCAGCTTACGGCTGCTGGTATTTTAAAATAGCACCATCATTGTTCCGTTGCCAAGGCTGTAGCGTATTCTCATTTTTGATTATTTCCCTCCTTTGGGGTTGGCAATGGCCCACAATGTTTCAAAATGGTAGCTGAAAAAAAAAAAAAAATCACATGATTCGATTATACCTAAGTTGGCCCAGTTTAGGTTTTCTGGGAGTCACATGGATATGAAACACTCGCGTTTGCATCAAGCCATTTGGAGCTTAGCTGATGAGTACGTATTACAATTGGGCTGAATGTGGCAGTGGAGACCCCCACCTTCCTCTCACCAGCTCGTGCTTGTAGAGGTCACAAAACCACAGACTCAAAGCCACGAAAACCTGTCAGGGAGAGAGTATTGGAATCTTCACAGATGGCACAACGCCTTCATTTCACATCTCTGGGCTTTCCGTCTCATTTGAAAATGGACTTACCCTTTAATCAGATTGTAAATGACTTCCATGTCTCCCGAGGGTAAGGCGTGCATACTTGGTATTACATCATTAATCTATACAGAACAGAGATTACGGTAGGAGCTAGTCCGGTATGATGAATGAGTGAATCTAGGGCATAATTTCTGTGGGTGGCGTGGATCTACCTTCGTGTAGTCAGAATAGTGTCAGTGATTTTGTTTTCTCCTATCCTATGAGCCTGAAAAAAAATATTTCCTAGATGTGACTCAGTTAAAGGTCCCGCTCTCATTTTTTACACCATCAGTGTATTTGCTCCATAAAAGGCTATTGCTGTATCATTCTGCTATAGGAAACTGGGAGTTTGATATTTCTTCTACCATTTTGTTTGGTCATTTCAGGGCCTAGAGGAGCTATGTTGCCTGTGGGTCCATTTTCAGTCTCTCTCTCTTTCTCTCTTTCTCTCTTTCTCTCTTTCTCTCTTGCTCTTTTTGGTGTTTCTGGGGGTTGAATTCAGTCAGAGCCACATACTTGTTAGGCTGGCACTCTACCACTTGAGCCATGCTTCCAGTCTCTTTTTGTGTTGGTTATTTTCCTTGTAGTGTCTCACAATATGCCCCTGAGCTGGCCTGGGCTATAATCCTCCTATTTGTGGTTTCTAATTGATGCTAGAATAACAGGCCTCCTGCATTACCATTTCCAACCTGGTTGAGATGGAGTCTCACGAACTCTGTGTGTGTGTGTGTGTGTGTGTGTGTGTGTGTATGTACTTTTTTTTAATCTTTTAATCATTAGTTGTACAAAGGGATTCAGTTCCACAGGTCACTTTATGAGCATAGTAGTCTTGGTCCATGTCTGGCCCACCATCGTCTCCGCTGTCTCGGGAGTGGGGGAGATTATGAACTTTTGTGCTCGGGGTGGACGGCTTCAGATGACAGTCTCACCAATCTCTCACTCCAAGCAGCTGAGATTAGACTTGAGCCACGACGCAGAGCAGACTTTCTCTTTACTATCCTTCTTGCTGTCTAAGCTTCCTATTTGGCTGCAAGAATGAGGAATTTACTAACCACATCCTCCTTTGTGCTGGCATTTATTATCCATTTCCCTCTCCCAGCTCCTCTTCAGTGGGCTAGGCTTCTGTGCTTACCACCTCGGCCTCCCTTGGATTCCTCTTCAAAACTTCCCGCGTAATAATGCTCTGTGCGATTCTGGGCGAAAGGGGGAAATGTGAACACAACTTGTGGTTTCTTCCAGACTGCTGCCGTGAGGACCCGGGGGCTCCTCTTTCTCAAGTTCAGTTTCTGGCTCTGTGATTTTTTTTTTTAAAAGAAAAACAGGGATCTGTTGCCTTGGGTTTGGGGGTGGTGGTGGCTTAGGATTGGTGGTGGTGGGGGGGGTGGGTGGGAGATGACAGAAATGATTAATGAGCTGCCAGTCTGATCTCAAGAAAGATTAGAAGAAATGAATAGAAACAGTTTGTCCGGGAGAGAGGACTTCTAGACGGGCGGGAAGGCCGTCCTGGCAGGGTTCCACTTCTCTGCTGCTGTGTTCCGGGTGGGTCTCTCTGCTGGACATCACCTCCTAGCCCAGCCCTGGGCACGGCTGGCAGAGACAGCCTGTGTCTTCAGATGTCTAAGACCCACAGAAAGGGGGATACAGCTGCCGTTCTTTTCACTGGTGTTTATGAAACTGCCTGTGGACAGGGAGCTATTTCCCTCAGGGTATCATTGAGAAGGAAAAAGAAAAGAAAAAGCAGCTAGTTACAAACTCCATATAGTTCCGCGTCTGTATTGGAAAGATTTGCGCGGGGGGGGGGGGGGAGAGGGGTGAGATTACATCTGTATAAATAAATTTAGGCATCCCCCACCCCTTAATGCAACAGGATTACAATGACTTCCATTTCATTCACATTTCGTCCGCCTATGTCCCATCGGCATATATGTCCTGTGCCTACATTCTATACCTGAGTTAGAGTTGCCTGTGTTGTACGTTACAGGTCATCTGGAGCTAAAGGGCACAGCAGGGTGTGTGTCGCTAACATTGCACATCTGGGCGTGTGGGGGTCTGGGCGGAATGTCCTTGTACCCCTCCCCCACAGAGTCCTTGGGGTAACTGCGCACACAGAACCACAGCATGGGGAAGGCATCTTGAGTTTCATCTGAAACTTCACACTCCAGGGGCCCTAGCACGTTTGTGTTGCTCAAGCATGGAGCATCTCCCACAGGGATGCTGAGAGTTCTTAGCTCTGAGCTCACCAAGTGTGGGGTTTTACTAAAGGTTCCCCGTGATCATGTCAAAGCCATTTCTGCTATTTAAATCAAGAGGTTATAAAGAAAATACTTTTTGTTTTTGGAAAGGACCAAGTGAGAATTATTTTAGCTCTCTTCTAGTCTACTAATTTATTTATTACTTAATTTATTTATTTTTTGTCGGTTGTGGGACTTGAACTCTGGGCCTGGGCGCTGTCCCTCAGCTCTTCAGCTCAAGGCGAGCGCTCTACCACTTGAGCCACAGTGCCACTTCTGGTTTTCTTAGTGGTTTATTGCAGATTAGAGTCTCATGGACTTTCCTGCCTGGGCTGGCTTTGAAGTGAGATCCTCAGATCTCAGCCTCCTTACTAGCTGGGATTAGAGGTGTGAGCCACCAGTGCTGGGCTTTCCTTAGTTATTTCTTAATGACAAGATTCATTTGTTGTGTGGGATCATCCCTTTTTTCTTGTATGGCTTTTTTGTTTCGGCATAGCGGTCTGGTGGCGCTGCTGCTGGGGACGCCAGTCGCGATGGTACTGTGTCTGTGAGTCTCCAGTGTAAGGTGTCTTTCTGTAGAGCCTTGAATTTTCAGGTGAGGTGAGCCAGAAGTGGGCACGGAGACTCATCGATGAACCTGGGTCTCTTCTCTGCCTTCTCTGGAAGCATCTTGCATGTTCCACCCGCTTGCCTCTGCAAATGCAAGACATGACTCTCTGCTGTTCCGAAACCCGCTCTTCAGCCCACAATGGGTTAAGATGACCAAGTTCTGCCTGAGCTTCTTCTCCATCCATGGGGCGTGGGGGCAGAGGACACGTAGAAGGCTGGGTGTACCGGTGTGAAAGGAGTCACTGTGGCAAAGCTGGTCCCAGCGGGACTCTTCCAACCTCCGAAAGTACGGACAGGGTTGCCTGCCACCCTCGGGGCAGAAAGGAAGGGCTGAGTTCTTTTCTTCCTTTTCTGGGTGGCGAATGACTGTAAAATAGTCTGTTAGCTTCATGTGTGTGTGTTTATTTCCGGTTGATGCAGAACACAGCGCTGCCTTGGAGGGTCGTGTGTAGTCTAGGCCAGCAATGAACGTTCAGACTTCATGAAAGAAAAATGACACGTTCCTCTACGATGCCTTAGCCTGACGGGAACGCCCCGCTATCTTGTGGGAAGCCGTTGTGAAAAGTACAGTCAACGGCCTTGCGAGATCCAGGTCCTCATGATGTGATCAGAACGAGGTGGACAGAAATAAGAGAACCGATTTGTTAGGTCGCATAAACCTAGTCCTGTTCCACCATGAGCTTTGTCCTGGGAACCCATATGAGCGACACTCTCCTCAACCTGGATAGAGGAAATTCAGATCAAGTGAAGAGGTTATCATTGCTAAATTCATTGCTATTAGAAAAATAATTTTGCACTCTTTGGAGTAGACAAAAATCCCCTTTTTAGACTCATTTCCCTTCCCTTCCCTCCCTCCTTTCCTTCTTCCCTTCCTTTACCTCTCCCTCTTTCTCCTTTCTTCCTTTTCCCTCCTTCCTTTCCTTCTTTTCTTCCTTTCCCTCCATCCAGCCTTTCCTTCCATCCTTTATTCTTTCATCCTTTATTCTCTTCCTTCTCTCCCTTTCCCTTTTCCCTTTCCCTTTCCTCTTCCCTCCCCTTCCCTTCCCGTCTCTTTCCTCTAGACATATTTTTTTAACCCTGTGTTTTTATCTTTCCTGAAAGTTTCTTAAATACTTTTATGTAGTGCCTTTTTTTTAAAGCTTTACTAAAACTTATTTGAGGCCTTATCCATATATAATGGTTATCTTCCTCTCCTCTCCCCAAAGCCGCATTCTTGATGTTCTAAGTTGAAAGACAAATTAATACAACATGGCACTTTACTGCCAGTGGCCTAGCGCTGAGTGTCTTCGCGTAGTCTCGTGTGGGTAGATTTGTACATGTAAGCCACTTTTCGTACACAGACTCCTGCTTCTGCCCCAGCAGGCTTTGCAGCTCACCCATCTTCCCAGCTCAGGTTATTCCATTGGTTCAGATTCTAGCCCGAGCACTGTACTAACGTTAACTCATTCAGTTCTAACAGCAACATACCAATGCCTAATGATAGGTATTGTTTGCCCTCTTCTTTGTACATGGTAGAACAAGCC